CATTGCATCTTTTAGCGAGTAACAAACAGACTAAAACTAATAACTTTATTCAATAAAGTATTATACTAATTCGACATACTTATTAATTGTAACCGCAAAATCACGACCCATGTAAATTATGATAATTACATGATATTTATTCACTAGCTAATACGAATAAGCAAAAATTAAAATAAAACTATTCAATCTTCTTTAACTACGGATCCATCACCGATCAAGTGGTCTATTTTTTCATCAGGGTGCTTAAAGAAGTCTGCCACATCTAAGTGGATGATGTCAAATTCATTGTCACAGACAAAATTAGCTTCGGGGCCTTTATTCTTTAGATATGCTTGATAAACTCAACCAAATGTCTTGGTGTACACAAATATTTTCCCAATGCCCTTTTCCACCACAACGATAGCATTCAGTTTCCGAACCCATTGCCTTTGGCTTCTCATCTTTCCCTTTCAATTTTTGGTGGTTATTTTTCTTTTGGGGATGATTAACACCAGAAAAATTTCTTCCTTGGCCACGAACATGGCCACGAACTTTTCCACGCTTAGGATAATGGGAATACACCTCATCCACTTCAGGCAATGGTGTAGACCCAGTGGGTCGATTTTCATGATTTCTCATGAGCAAGCCGTTTCGTTCATCCACAAGGAGAAGAGAAATCAACTCAAAGTACTTCTAGAAACCTTTCTGTCGGTACTGGTGTTGCAAGACCATATCGGAGGCATGAAACATTGTGAAATATTTTTTCAAGCATATCATAGTCAGTGATACTATCTCCATAGAGTTTCAATTTAGAAGTAATTCTGAACATTGCAGAATTATATTCAGAAACAGACTTAAAGTCTTGGAGCCTCAGATGAGCCCAATCATATCATGCTTGTGGAAGAGTGACCAACTTTAAGTTGTCATATCTTTCCTTTAAGCCATTCCACAAAGCAAGTGGATCTTTGACTGTGAGATATTCTATTTTCAATCCTTCGTCAAGGTGATGGCGCAAGAAAATCAAAGCCTTAGCATAGTCTTGGGTAGATACTTTATTTTTATCTTTAATGGCGTCTCCAAGACCTATTGCATCTAAATGGATTTCAGCATCCAACACCCATGTCATATAGTTCTTGCCCTAAATTTCAAGGGCAACGAATTTTCTCTTCATAATATCAATCATAAGTAAAAAAGAAGAAAAGTTATACCTTAATCTTCTCAAAGAGCTTCTTGAGACGGTAAAATCTCGTGCTGATAACATGAAATAAAACAATAAAGTAAAAGAAGAATATTGCAATGAAAAGAGAGATAATTCTATTGATTTTGGGATGGACTTAGCCACAAGTAACAAACTATCTAAAATATATGCATTCACTCTAAATACAATTCTATCATTAACATTTATGTTATAAAACAATAAAAGAAGAAGAAGAGTATTGCACTGAAAAGTAGAGAGAGGGAGAGAATTCTTATTGATTTGGGATAAATTACAATAGAATATAACCCTCTATTTATATGGAGAGGGTGACTTAGCCACCAAGCAATGAATCCTAGAATCTCTCTAAATATAGACATTCACCATAAATAAAATTCTATTTATAACACTCCCCCTTGTATGTCTATTTAACAGATAATGTGCCTCGTTAAAACCTTAACTAAAATAAAACCAAGTGGGAAAAAAATTCCAGAGAAGGAAAAAGAGTACACATATCTACAATACGCCTTTTGGTTGCCTCGTTAAAAACCTTGCAAGGAAAACCCAGTGAGACAAAACCTTGTAAGGGAAAAAGAGTGCAACGCGTATTAATTCCCCCTGATGAGAGCATCAATTCACATCCTTAAACATTTGCATTCCAATCTTGTGCACCATATTCAAAAGATCGTTTGTAGATATTTGATAAACAATATCAGCCATATTAACTTCAACGAATTTGTTTCACCTTGAAATCATCATCCCTGATAGATGTATTGTCTTCATATGATCTTGCTGTAATCGTCAGTTCAATATCTTCACATAGAGGTGAAAACTCTTGCTATAATATTATCATGCATATAGTTATAGCAAGATATATTTGTGCACAAATTGCATTGAGGATGTAGTACTTCATGACCATGAATTCTATATGCTTTAAGAAATTTAAATCCTTCAGGGATTGTTAAGTTATATAAGCCATATAATAAACTTTAGATGCATATAAAGTTTTCATGTCATGCTAGACATATAAGATATCGAAAACTGATTGCACATACCATTGACTTATACTTTCAAGTGTTTGAACTACATGTTCAAAATTACATGGCTTTCATATGAAACCAATTCTATTTGAATTGTTTCTTCAGACTTAAGATCCTCATATATATATTTAGCGCTATCATAGATGCCGTCGACAAACATTTTATATCAGTTTCAATATTTTTTCATAAAGACATAACATAGAGATCTCTTCATTCATATTTTAGGCACCTGAATCTCTCTTGAGATTTTATGAAGTGTTATGTCATGTGATCTTCTAGATCACTTGCCTCCTTTATTATGATCATTTTGATCATTTGCTCATCTTCTTTATCAAAAAGTTTATTTGAACCGATTTGTCTATATGCTTTAAGCGTACAATAGACTTTGTCCTTCTAGGACTTAATAGGAGAATTTGCAATGAGAATATAGTTACTTCCTTTGGATCAGCAAATGCGTCTCGCATGCTTTGCAATGTATTGCAAATGAATTATCCTTTTATGAACTTCAAGTTCATATTATTTTATTCGAGGATCTAGATGTATAAATGATAATTCATTCCATGTAACTTTTTCTCAATTGTTTATCATGTCTCCCCCTCATGTTAGAAAAACTAACTTGTTACCTCAACTTTGAGAATCCACCTTTGTGCGTTATGGTGTTAATCAAAATATACACCGCACATCAATAATAATAAGATGGAATTATTTGGTTGCTGACCCTGAACCACTTGTGAGGGGAGAAAATAATATACTTTGGTATATAACGTATATCAAACTGATATTGATAAATTTATTCTCATAAGTAATTGTTTAGCTATTAAGTAGAGGCACTTAATAAATCATTTTGCTAAACGAACTGTGATGTAAACCAACTTATCAAGATGAACTTCTTGAATAGAAAATCTAAAATTATGCTCGAAATTAAATTATTGAGCAAGTTACCTCAAACACCATGTTGCGGGTTATTAATAATCTCACATGTAACCATCTCATAGATGCATCTTATGTGGTATACATGGCAGGTGAATTGGCCCATATTCACCTTTGATATTTCCAGCATTCATGGGATTCAATCCCAATTTTAGTTGGTCTATTAATTAATAAGAACAAGCAACATAAGATAATTCGTAAAGAACTTTCTAGTTCTTTAATATTTACCCATGTGAATTCTCTTTTATTTTTTTGCACATCATACTTAAATTGATATGGCTAAACCAATTATGCCAACTGAATAAATTATCAATATTGATAAACTTCAGATTTACACCATGACGTGTGCAATTATCAATAAACTCCAAGTTTATTATGATATGGGTTTTTATATCAATAAACTTCTCTTTATTGTGGCATTCTTTTGTTTGTGTAGTACAAACTGGAGAATAAAGCGGGTAGCTTTTCACATACATATTACCCGCTATAAGTTATAGTAATAGAAGATATTAAATCTTTCCTTTATTTATAGTCTCAGTATGACCAACCGCTTTCGCGAATACTTTAGAAACTCAATAAGTTTCTTTGAGACTTACTACAACACAACGTCTTATTGATAATCAATTTTCTCCAAAATAGTACAATTGGCTCTTCTAGAGCTCTCAATTAATTTTGTACTACCACATATTCATCAACATCCATATGGTGAATATCTCTTTTAAAGAGAAAGTTATACCATTATAGTCATGGTAAAAATTATATGCAAGATCTGTTTCTTGCATTACTGTTATTCTTTAATAATCACATTACCAAAATATTTTGGCGTACAATAGGTATGTGACCAATGACCGTTCATGCCATAATAATGACATTGTTTTCTTATATCATCTCAAACCTCCTTTTGGAGGTGAGTGTGGTATGTTCACTACCACTGTAGCACATTCATATTCTTCCAAGAATGAATATGTATTCATAAATCAGATGTTTTCACATTCACATCATGAATGGACCATAGTCATCTATATGTGCTTTACGATATTTTATGTCAAATCGATGACAAACATTAACTTCATAGAGTGAAGGCTTATTTTGAGAATCCTTATTATTCTCATTACCACGATAATGGCGATTATAATTTCGTCTATTATCACGTCCACATCCATTGATACCTTTATGATAATAATTTTGTCTTGTTTCAGACTTATCACATATTGCTATCACATTCTCTTAAGGGAATGAGAATGGAGCAAATTCAAATGGGACGGGTTTTCACTTCTTGTGCTCACGATCATACATGACTTTGATCATGGCAAGACATATAAATTTTACCACTTCAGGTGGTTATAATTTCTTACAAACTCCATTAGAGTTATATTCAAACTTTGTTGTCTTTGCTTGTATTTAAAATCAAATTATAGAATTTCAAGAAAAATAAAGTAAAATACTTACCTTAAATTCAGAATTTAATCCTGAAGGAAGTTCATGGAACAATTGACAATCATTATGCTCAATCCCAAAGCTTCTACTCAATTGGTTAGAGTCTCGTGCTGATAACGTGTTATAAAACAATAAAACAAGAAGAAGAGTATTGCAGAGAAAAGTAGAGAGAGGGAGAGAATTCTTATTGATTTGGGATAAATTACAATAGAATAGAACAATTTATTTACAGGGAGAGGGTGACTTAGCCACCAAGCAATGAATCCTAGAATCTTTCTAAATATACACATTCATCATGAATAAAATTCTATTTATAACAATTTACATTTTTTTAATTGGAGTATCTTTTTATACAAAAGTTTAATGACACTCCCTTTTCTCCCACAGGTTTCAGTTTGTGACACTTAAAACCTTCTTAACTATCAGCATTCAGCCATTCCAAGGTTTTTGCACTTTCTCTCTAAATCTCCGAAACCACTAGAACAGCATTACAGCAATGGAGAAAAGGGAGGAGGCGAAAGAGGTGGTGGAAGAGGAGGAGCAAGTAGTGAATCCATGGGAAGTATCAGCAAAAGACGGCGGCAAGATTGACTACGACAAATTAATCGATAAATTTGGTTGCCAGAGGCTCGACGACTCCTTAATCCAGCGTGTTCAACGCCTCACGAATCGGCCGGCTCACGTTTTCCTCCGCCGCGGAGTTTTCTTCGCTCATCGTGATTTCAACGATATATTGGACGCTTATGAAAAAGGGCAAAAGTTCTATCTATATACTGGCAGAGGACCTTCCTCTGAAGCCTTGCATTTGGGTCACCTTATCCCATTCATGTTCACAAAGTAATTAAATTAATTGGGAGGACTTGATTGCAAATTTTTTTAAAAGAACTTTTTTTTTTGGTGTGAATTTATTTTGTTTTTGTTGTGTTTAGATATTTGCAGGATGCATTTAAAGTGCCGCTAGTAATACAATTGACAGATGATGAGAAATGTATGTGGAAGAATTTGTCCGTGGAAGAAAGCCAAAGACTTGCTCGTGAGAATGCTAAAGATATTATAGCTTGTGGATTTGATGTTTCCAAGACTTTCATTTTCTCTGATTTCGATTATGTTGGTGGGTAAGTGAGTAACTTTTTTTCTTCCCTGATTGTGTTTTGTACTCTTACGGAAATTGTTTATCTTGAGAATCCTTTTTTGATATTTTTCAGTGTTTAGTAGGTAAGCAAGTATACATACGGTAATCATACAAGGAGCTGTATTATAAAGATTCTGTTTTGGTGATATTTTGAGTTTAACAGTTGAAAATAATATCTAACAGATGATTGAAGCAACTGATACAGCGCGACATGAGATTTGGGATTTTTTTTATGGAAAGTGTCCTCAATGTAACATTATCTTTTCTTTAGGGGGGCAGGGAGAGGAGGTGAATATGTTATTTGGTTTTCATGTTTCCATTTGTTGCTATGGAAGCGATTAGACTGAAAGTTGCCTTTTAGAATGAAAATTTTAGCTTTACATGTTATGTCATACGTAGAGTTTAATTTTGAGCCGAGGGTCTATCGGAAACAGCCTCTGCACCTTCATAAGGTAGAGTTAAGGCGTGCGTACACATTACCCTCCTCAGATCCAACTTGTGGGATTCCACTGGGTTGTTGTTGTTGTCATAAGTAGAATTTAAGTGGTCGTAGTCGTACAAGGATGCAATCAACTTGTGTTTTCTTTCTGCTTTGTGTGTACAGCTCCAGGAGTTGTATTTACATAGTTTTATGGTCCGTTTCTAACAAGAACTTTTTGCATAGTGCCTTTTACAAGAACATGGTGAAGGTTGCAAAATGTGTCACATACAATAATGTGATTTCTGCTTACTTTACATCTACAGGAGCATCTTATGTTAAAAGGCTTTTGACCTATTACGCTATGCGGTTTGTTTTTCAGGTGGTTGGCATTTTTGGTTTCACAGGTGAAGATCACATTGGGAAAGTTAGTTTTCCACCAGTTCAGGTAGCCTACTCCTCAATGTGATAGCCATAGTCTTTCTATTAACTTACTCTAACCCTTTTTTAAATTTTGTTGTAATACCAAAGTTAGTGAAGTATATGTGCCTTATGTTTCGTATTTATTTTCTTATTTTCATGTCAAATAGATAAGTTAAGAGCCTGAAGAAGGTGGAATAGTATACATTATATTCCCCCCCCCCCCCCCTCCCCCCAAACACACACGCACACCAAAAAAGAAAAAGCTGAATAGTAGCTTGCTTTGAATTCTATATGGACTCGTCCTCTGCTCAAAATTGAGGAATTTGAATTGGGTTTAGAATGATAGAGAAACTTAGACAGTTGAATTACAAAATTGCAGGCTGTTCCATCCTTCCCAAGTTCATTTCCTCATCTGTTTTCTGGCAATGATAACATTCGCTGCTTGATTCCATGTGCCATAGACCAGGTTTGTTCTTGCTCCTATATTTCTTTGTCGGATTTCTTCAATTTTTTTGACATGTGATTCCTTCAAATTTTCTAATTATATTTGAATGATTAAGCAATTTGTTTTGCAATTATAATAATGGAGCAATACGTTTTGTTGTCAACAAAATAGTTTTGGTTATATATTAGTCGGATGGGTCTCTTTTGTCTGAGAGTGATGGTTATTTTCCAATCATTTGAAGCAATCTTGATTGGCACAAGGATCTCCTCATAACATCCTAATTATAACCTCCACTATGATAGAAACCATTGAGCTCATGTAAAGAGCTCTTCTTTGATTTATATGTTTTATTGAGAGGCTTTTATTGATTGTACACATTCTGCACTACTGTTAAGTTGGCAACATCTTTATGTGATATCTTTTTTTTACGAAGTAAGAAAATTTCATTAAATGGCATCAAGAAGATGCATAGCAAAAACTATACAACAAAAGTGTGGCTGCTCATATACTACAAAAACTTACTGCATAACTACAGACACAATCCAAAAAAATTCAAAACTAGTTACAGGGGCCTGGTTGAACCAACTAAATAAATTAATTAGACAAGTTGCTTTAAGAGAGTGATTAGGAGTTGAAATCCCATCAAAACATCTATGATTTCTCTCATTGCAGATGCACCAAAAAATAGAAGCAGGCACCATTTGCTAAGTTTTCTTGATGGATTTCCCAACTCTCCATGAGCACCAGCTCTCATAAACATCCTTGATACTGTAAAGCATGACCCAATCAAGTCCAAAAACTGATAAAAACATGTTCCATATGTCAGCTGCTACTGTGCAATGAGAAACAAATGTCTCACTCTCAAATTCCTCCTGGCACATAAAACACGAAACATCTGTTCACCGTCGGAATGCTTCTTCTACTGAGGTTGTCTTGAGTAAGGCAGGTTTCATATAGGCTTGTCCAGATAAAATCAATTACTTTTATAGGGAGTTTGGTTCTCCATATAAGCTTCCATGGCCATTTGTCAATCAGCTCTTTATTGGAGCATAGATTGTCATATCCTCTTTTGACAATATAGGTTCTATCTTTGGAAGCCCCCCATTCCAGCTTGTCCTTCACCTGAGGGTTGACATTAACATTTGATAATTTTGAAAGCAATCTCAGCAGGTCATTTAGTTCCCAGTCTTGGATATCTCTTCTGAACTGCAGTGCCCATGCGTTATCTTGCCAATAGTGGAGTCCTTGTTGCTGGCCGGTAAAAATAGACTTGGGTGTTCGTCTTTCAGAATCTCTGTCCCTAACCATCTGTCTTTTCAGAAAGAAATATGAGAATTCCCAAGCTTGAATGATGGCTTGAGTTGGAAGTCACCCCATAACTTTGAAATGTGTTTCCATGGCTTAGAACCATGTGGTAGTCTACTCTGTCTAGTACGCCAGTTATTTGCCACCCCATATTTTGCTTGTATTACAACTTTCCACAGCCCAAGGTTGTCCATGTTGTACCTCTGGTGTCATTTCATTAACAAACTCTTGTGTTGTGTAAAGTGAGATCTTTTATTCCTAGCCCTCCATGCACTTTGAGGAGGCCATTTAACCAGATGGAATTTGTGAGTTTAACTAATTCCTTCTCATAGAAAATCTCTTCTTAGTTGATCAAGTCTCCTCTGAACCTTTGCTGGGGTTGGAAACAGGGACAGGAGTAGGTAGGAATGCTATCCAACACACTGTTGATGAGTGTAATTCTACCACCCTAAGTGAGATACTGCATTTTCCAGGAAGCCAATTTTTTTTTTCAAAATTTTCAATTACTTCATTCCAAATACCTAGAGCTTTGTGTCTAGCTCCCAGTGGAAGACCAAGATATGTTTTAGGGAAAGAGCCCACCTTAAAACACATTACTTCCGCAAGCTCTTCCAAGTTTGGAACTGAATTGACTAGATAGATGATGCTCTTCAACATGTTCTGCTAAAGATATTTGACTTGTCAAAGGAAAATGCCGGATGGGCCATGTCATATTCCTGTTCAAATGATGGTATAATATTTCTAGGAGTCAAGTTATTGTCTCGTTATATTTTTCTAGAAGTTGGCAGACAAAGAACTGTTGTAAATATGAGATCATATAAGATGAATATGGATCAAATACAGAGTAACTTTTCTTTTTTGTCTATGTGGCGGTAAAACAAAATGAAAACCAGAGAGATGGTTTAATGCTTTTTCTAAATACAAGTACGATCTTTGGTTGATCTCTGCTCAAGAATTGTGAACTATGTTGCTTGTCTCCCTGATTTTGAAAAGGACTAATTTTTTAAGTATGAAACTGTTGATTCAACTATACTTCTTAACCTTGCAGTTACGCTCAAATACTCTTTAACAATTGTAAATTGGCTAGTTCATGGGCTGTGCTTATTGATACATCATTTAGCAAGTTCAAGCTTTGATGTAGATCTGCTTAATTAAGTAGGTCATATGAGCCGGAAATCTCCTAGTTTGCTTGAAATTAAACTGGTTAGATGATAGATAGACAATATCATGTTACTTTAAAAAAAAGATGGAATCATGCTGGGTTTTTGCTGCTTCATTTCTTTCTTTTTTCTCTCTGCAATGTCTGCCATTATCTTCATTATTGATAGATTCCCCCCTCCCTCCCTTTCTACTGAAAAACTAACATCGGTAAATGATTTTTCAGGATCCTTATTTCCGAATGACTCGAGATGTCGCTCCCCGGATAGGTTATCACAAGCCTGCTTTGATTGAATCATCTTTCTTTCCTGCCCTTCAGGTTTTTTTCCATATAGACCAGTGACTGAACAAGATTAGTTCTGTTACAAATTTACAATGAAGTTTCACTACGATGATGCTTCTGTGACTTCACCTTTTACAGTTTATTAGTAATTTGTTCTATGACATTTATTTATCCGTCCTCAACTTCTTGTTGCTACAAGGTTTTAACTTTTCTTGCTGCAAACTTGCCCGGACACTACTATAGTTAAAAAAAGATATTACGTCATCAATAATCAAACATTTAGATAGAATCATTATCGCGTACCCATCGTTCTCCCGTACTCATCATTCTGGAATCTAAAGCACCTGCCAGTGCCCTGTGGTATTATCCTTTTGAGGTGCGACAGTCTTTAGACCCTAATTTCTTACAAATGAAAGCAATGTTCTGCTTTGGTGCTTCATTCTGGTTATATATGAGTATTTCAGCATCTAAGTTGGAACTGTTAACTTCTCACCTTTCTGATTGACAAAAAATTGCAGTTCATTGCATGTGCTTCGTGATAGCTTAGAGACCAATAAATGTAGCATATTTTGGTCATAGACCTGTAAAACATAAATCTAGTTTGTTAATTTATTTATTTAGTTTTTGTATAGACCGAGTAATGCAGCATTCCTGAAAGCTTTATTCTCTCCCTGGAATTCTGCTTGTGCCTAGCATCTGGATCGTGATTCTTCATGCTAGAGAAGTATTTCTCGACTAGGAAAACGAGTTGCCTCCTGCATAGAATTGATATGAAAAGAAGTTAAAAACACTTAAGCTTACCATAACACATCAACTTCTCAATCGATATTAATCTTTTTTATTTGTTGATGAAGTAAGTAGATTCATTGCTGGCATCAAGAAGATGCAAATTGTACCAAAGAGGTGTTGTTAGCTTCATTACATTTGTCTGTGCTATAGCAGGAAGCTAACAAGTTACAAAATAAGAGACTAAGCTAATCTATTCAGAATGTTAGCTCTGGATTACAAAAAACTGTTTAATGAAAATTCCATAAAGCCTGTGGAAGACAGTCCCCAAAGAAACTCAAGAAAGAATTTCCTTGTTAGATGTTCAATTCAGTCAAGCAAAGCCCCACATCTTCAATAACTTTTTCACAAAGGATTTGTCCTAGTTGGAACACTGTTTGCTAGAACCATTGTTGTCCATATTACAAATAGTCTCCATATAAATGTTGTCTTCTACTAACAGATGGAAATGTGTGTTGACTAATAAATCATCTTTCACATTTCCAAAATGTCAAATAAAGTCTATATTTTCTTTTCATTTTTCCCTTTCTTTTTACCACTTTCACGCACTTCTCAGTGGAATTTGGTTCTTAATTAGTGCAATTGCAGATAATTCTTGAGTTCCAACTTAAATGAAATGGATTACTAACTATATAATGGTTATTTCATTTCATCTTTGTTCTTTTTCTGATGTGGCCACCTCCATGCTTGTAATCTGTCTGATTCCAAATAAGTAGAAATACAACTGTTTCTTATCCTTGTTACTTGTCAAATTAGTTTGTTGTTTCAGCTTCTGATTTTTAATGTGTCTGCTTGTAAAAATTCTTCTGCATTGCCTTTCTGTTAATATTCTATATTTTGTTGAACATTTGCAGGGGGAGAATGGAAAAATGTCTGCTAGTGATCCAAATTCTGCCATTTATGTGACCGATTCAGCAAAAGAGATAAAAAATAAGGTTGGGGTTTTTTATGATGTGAACTGTATTATTACACACCTTCTCAGAAAATAATTCCTTCCGAAAAAATATACTTTACACATCTCACATTCATCACCATATAATGAGTTAGCAGTTCTAGATTTGTTAGAACCCCTACATGCTTAGGAAGGATATGCTTTTGTTCTTTTGCTGCTCTCTTATTTTTGGTATCTAACACATTACATAGATTTTTTTTTTATAAAGGTAATAATTTCATTACAATTGGGGAAGCCCCCATATACAAGCTGTATTCCAAAAAGATGAGAACCTACACCGAAATATGATTCTCAATAGAAGAGGCCCTATCCTCTATACAAGTTGGGATCTCATAAGTACACCAAAAAGAAACTATAAACAAAAGACTACTTTGTAATTTTACAAAATCTTGTTCCACCCCTTCAAAAGGCATCATATTTATCTCTTTCCAAATAACCCACATGATTGCTAATGGGGCAAGAATCCAAGCCCTCAGACTTCTCTTTACCCTCCTATGAGCCCAACTATGCAATGCTTCTTTTACTGTGCCTGACATCACCCATTCCACCCCAAACAAATTAAGGACCACCCTCCATAAACGAGTAGTCACTTGACAGTGCAATAGGAGATTATCTGCATTTTCACCGAGCTTTTCCATGTGAAACACCAGCTGATATATGTGATCCTCCTCTTTCTCAGATTTTCCGCTGTCAAAATCACTCCCCTTGCCGCCAACCATGCCAAGTAACACACATTTCTCTGTGCTCTAGAGATCCAACAGAGCAATACATTCCTCTCTGCCTAATAACTCTGTTAATAAGATTTAACAATTAATAATCCATCTCTACTCTCTCGCCATCTCCATACACATTAATAACCCATTTTAACATGGGACCTTGTATAAGATGTAGATTCTCTAGAAGATCTCATTGGTTCCTTGTAGCTGTTACAAGATTGTTTTTGCAACTTTTTGGGTCTTGTAACCCTGGTTTTACTCCTTAGCACATTCTTTGTGCTAAGGACTATCTTTTAATATAATGAAATCTGTTACCTTCTCAAAAAAATTAACTCATTTCAACATTTGGTTAGCTACTGATCAGGTTTCAGCTACCACTAATTAAACAAATAGCTAAGATAGGGGAGAAGTTAAGAAGCTAGGGTGAGATCCTGGATTTAGTCAAGTTACTCTATGGTTCCAATCCTAGATGTTAAGAAGTTTCCCTGTCTATAAATGCGAGCATTTGCTGTTGCTGTGCTTGATAGTGAATTTTGACCTTCAACGCCTTTTAGATGAAGAACCTGCACTATGTTGGAATTTTAGTTTCATTTAGCTGATACCTTGTGAGCAAATTGAAGAGATTTTGGGGCACTCACTATAGCTGTTGGACAGAGTGTGGAATGAGTGTTTTTCTCTGTTATTGTTATCATTGATAATTGTAATTGAATTGCTTCCAACCTACAACAACAAAAAACCCAGTGTAATCCCAAAGTGGGGATAAGCTTTCCAACCTATTGAGTAAAAAATGATATTTATGATGGGCACTCTTGAGAAGAACCTTATCAGGCAATTGATGTTAAAGATACTTCTAAATAGTAGATGACTTTCAACAATAATCATAATTGAATTACACTATCTGATTTTGGGCAATTCTCGTCAATGGCACAAGTGTGCCTTCACCTTTATACAGTCTGAAGTTGTGGATTTTACTGACTGAATCTTCTGTTTGCAGCCTCATATGATGTTTGAGATTATCCGATCAATATATGGGCTTTCTATTGCGCCTTTTGCTTGTATTACTGGGACAACTGTAGCATTTTGCTGGACCATCTTGTTAAATCATCTTTGGTACCTTAGTGTCTTCAATACTTGCAGTAGTGAGAAATTTTTTCTGTAATTGCTTTTCCATACTTATACTTCTCAGACTTCAATGTGTTCTTTTTAAAGTTCTTGTTTGTGGGGAGGGAAGAGTTGGGGTTTCTTTTTTTTTTTTTTTTGAGGGGGGGGGGGGGGGGGGGTACTATGCCCTAGCGTAGGAGTCAAGTCCCACTACAGTAATTTTGAGCTAGGTTACACCGGAAACTGAGGCTATTGGAGTTTGCTTCCCCTTTAGAAGTTCTTATATAGGTTTCCTAGATGGATATTATCCAGATTGATTACTCTATGCTAAATAACTTATCTCGACAAAGCGAATAAATGACCCTTTAAATTGTAACTATGTGCAGATAAACAGATATGCATTCTCTAGTGGGCAAGACTCAATTGAGTTGCACAGAAAGTACGGAGCGAACTTGGAGGTAACCAAATTTATATGGACCCACTAGCTAATTCCTAGGACTTGCATTTCTTTTAAATAACTGTATGTGCCTGAATATAGCATCTTAAGACTGCGGGTTGTCTCTGCCTGTTCTCTTCTCGATTGGATCGCTATAATTTTGTATCATCTTTAGCCACGGAAAAAAGAAAAAAAAAAAGCAAAGTAAAACCTCTCATTCCAGGTTGATATACCATTTAAGTATCTTGGCTTTTTCCTGGACGATGATGCTGAGCTGGAACTCAGTAGAGAGGTTAGTGTACATATTTTGTCATCTAATTTCTTTACAATTCAAAACTTTCATTGGTAGAACTCCAGCATACGGTGTTTAATTTAGTTCACACAAGGACTAACCAGTAGTTGAAGTTACCAATAATGGTCATATGCTCGCTTTCAGGAATATGGGTCTGGACGTATGCTAACAGGTGAAGTGAAAAAGAGGCTCACTGAAGTTCTAACAGATATAGTTGAAAGACATCGACGGGCTAGGGCGTTGGTGACTGATGAGGTAACTAAAGTAACTTCTGGTGTAACCTGAAGTGAACTAGCTTTTCCTAATTTTAAAGTACTCATTCTCCATTTCAAATTCCCTTAGATTATCAAGTCAATTTGTCCTGACTATCTCAATTTCAAATGACATAATTTTCTCTTTAGTGGCCAGAAAATAGAGCTTGGTCTGCTAGCTTAAGTGAACACAGAGATTGAAATTAGCGCCAGTTCTCCATTTTCTTTAACTACATAGGATCCTTTACCTAACTCATTGTTGCTGAGTGGTGTTTACTCTTCCTCGGACAAGTCACTAGATATGTCAAGGGTGTGAATTGCTCCTCTTATGAGCATGACATTCCTTCACTGTTATTTCAACACTCAATTTGCTTCCTCTTCGATTATGTGCGCTCAGGGATAAAAAAAACTAAGGGGGTTGTGAGGTTCTTCTTTTTCAAAGTGTTCTTCTTTAGTGCATCTTTTGCTGGTCCAAATTACTGTATCCCTTTTTCCTTTTTATGCTTCTCTCTCATTTGACGTGCTCTATGTTTTTCTTACTATTTCTTTATGTTTTCAGTTCCACTAATTTACTTGCTTGTTGAATGGTCTTTCCTGCAGATGGTAGATGCTTTCATGGCCGTTAGACCTCTTCCTAATATGTTCAACTGAATAGGCAAATTTTCGTCACGTCGATATGTTCTTTCTTGAGGCAACTAGTCATTGTTTCTCTCGATTTCCTGAGAGGTGTTTCTTCTTTAATTGTAATTTCTTTTTTTCATGTATTTTTATAACTCGTAAATTTCAGTTATATATTTGCAAAAACAAAGTCATGAAGATGGCATCACTCTTCCATTCTCTCGTTGAAATTTACACCATTTTGAGGACCCTAATGCATCTAGTTTGGTTAAGTACTAGATTTTCTTCCACAACCCCAGCTTGGTAGATGGATTTGTGGTAACTTTAACATGATTTATTTTCTAATCACTTGTATCCCTTTTTGTCTGGCATTTGTGGCCCTTTCCCCTATTTTTAATGAAGTCTCTCTTGTTTTTCTGGTTAGTTTATCTGAACTATGGAGAACATTTTTCTGCCTTTACATAAAGTTACTGCAATTATAAGACTAGTTTTAGGATACACGCGTCGCGTGTGTACCCATATCAACAAAAACAGGATTTTTAATAAAAACAACAACAACAACAACAACAACAACAACAACAATAAACCCAGTATGTTCCCAACAGGTGGGGTTTGGGGAGGGTAATCCGTACACAGACCTTACCCCTACCTAATGCAGGTAGAGAGGTTATTTCCAATAGACCCTCGGCTCGTAAAGGGTGAGAAGAAGAAAAAGAAGAAAAGCAAGAAAGGAAGAGAGAAGAAAAAGAGGGAGATAAAGGATAAGTAGTACCAAATAATAACAACAGGGAATACAATACACGAGGCGAACAAAATCACATCACGTAATGAAAATCTAAGAATATGAAGGGATATGCGGTGATACTAAGACTATCGGTGAGCAACTAAAAAGTTACCCACTAACATTCTACCCTATTCCTCGACCTCCATACCTTCTTATCAAGGGTCATGTCCTCAGTGAGCTGAAGCATCGCCATGTCCTGTCTAATCATCTCTCTCCAGTACTTTTTAGGCCTACCTCGACCTCTTCTCATACTCGCCATGGCCAGCCTCTCACACCTCCTAACAAGAGCATCAATGTTTCTCCTTTTAACATGTTCGAACCATCTCAGCCTCGACTCCCGCATCTTGTCCTCCACAGAGGCTACTCCCACTTTGTCCTGGATAGTTTCATTCTTAATCTTATCTCTCCTGGTACACCCACACATCCATCTCGACATTCTCATCTCTGCTACTTTCATCTTCTGCACGTGGGAGTTCTTGAGTGGTTAACACTCAGCCCCATACAACATAGTCGGTCGAACCACCACTCTATAAAACTTACCCTTAAGTCTTGGTGGCACATTCTTATCACATAAAACACCGGATGCAAGCTTCCATTTCATCCATCCCGCTCCGATGCGATGTGTGAGATCTTCGTCAATCTTCCCGTTACCTTGGATAATAGACCCGAGATACTTAAAACTAGCTCTCTTGGGGATAACTTGAGCATCAAACTTTACCTCTACGTCTGCTTCATGGGTCCCGTCACCAAATTTGTATCCCAAGTATTATGTTTTGGTTCTGCTCAACTTGAAACCTTTAGACTTCAAGGCCTGTCTCTAAACCTCCAGCATTGCGTTAACTCCGCATCGCGTCTCGTCAATCAACACTATATCATCGAAAAATAGCATACACCAAGGAACCTCCCATTGGATGTGTCGCGACAGTACATCTATCGCCAAGGCAAATAAAAACGGGCTAAGAGCCGATCCCTGGTGCAACCCCATCACAATTGGGAAATGCTTCGAGTCACCACCCGCAGTCCACACCCGAGTCTTAGCACCGTCATACATATCCTTAATCACCCTAATGTACGCTACCGAAACGCCGCTAGCCTCCAAACACCTTCACCGGACCTCCCTCGGGACTTTACTCGTACGCTTTCTCGAGGTCAATAAACATCATATGCAAGTCCTTCTTTCTCTCCATGTACTACTCCACTAATCTCCTTACCAGATGAATCGCTTTCGTAGTCGAACGCTCCGGCATGAATCCAAACTGATTCTCGGAAATAGACACACACCTCCTTACCCTGGCCTCCACCACCCTCTCCCAAAGCTTCATAGTGTGACTCAACAGCTTGATACCCCTATAATTGTTGCAATTTTAGATATCACCCTTGTTCTTGTACAGCGGAACCATTATACTCGACCTCCATTCTTCGGGCATCTTCTTCGTCCTAAAAATAACATTAAATAGCCTAGTGAGCCACTCCAAGGTTGCTCGCCCCGCGCTATTCCAGAATTTCATTGGAATTTTGTCTGGCCCCATCGCTCTGCCCCTGCACATCTTACGCATCGCCCCTTCCACCTCCTCTACCTTAATCCGCAAGATTATTAATAAAAAATTAAATAATATTCAGAATTTATGATTGAGTTATAAAACAAGAACTAACAAAAAATGAAGTTTGCAAACTAATAAATGTGATCATATATAGGACTTTGGATCCAGCGCAGAGTAGTTCAGCCGACAGGATATTAAGGATTGAAGAACTTATTTTGAAGGAAAAGGAGAAATTCCCAAAATAACTGAATAAAATTAAGTATAGCGAGAAAATCTCCAAATGATGAAATAATATTCAACAATAATAAAAGGTGAACAATCGAGAATTATTAAAAAAGAAATCCTAATCTTGAAAAGGTTTCCAGTTTAGGCAAGATAACTCTTTGATATTTTACAATAAATTACTTAATGTATAAAAAACAATAGAGTGTCATTTGTTCGAAGGAATGAAAAATAAAATAAAATAAAATTAATTACAACTTACTGTGATGACCCAAAAGGTCATCACTTGTTCTTAAATTAAATTTTGTATTTCCGAGGCCTTGAGAACCTCATTTAGAGTCATCTCGATTTGCGTGTGCAGTCCGGGTGCGTAGCCGGAAAGCTTAAATATAAAAATCTGTGAAAAATGATAAAATTTGGCTAATAAATTAATTAATTTGACTTCGGTCAACGTTTTGGGTAAACGGACCCAGACCCGTGATTTGACGATCCCGGAGGGTCCGTAGGAAAATACGGGACTTGGGAGTATGCCCGGAATTGAATTCCGAGGTCCCAAGCCCGAGAAATGAATTTTTAAAGGAAATTCTTTTCTGAAATTGTTTAAGGAAATTTGAAATGAAATTTGATTAGAACATGGTGGTATCGGGCCCGTATTTTGGTTCCGGCGCCCAGTACAGGTCTTATATATGATTTAAGATATTTCTGTAAAATTTGGTGAAAAACGGATGTCGTTTGGCGTGATTCGAACCTAAATTGCTAAAGTTGATATTTTATGAAGTTTGAGAAAAATTCTTTGATTTTGAGGTTTAATTCGTTGTTATTAAGGTTATTTTGGCGATTTGAACGCACGGACAAGTTCGTATGATGTCATTGAGTTAGTACGTATGTTTGGTTAGGAGCCCCGAGGGCTCGGGTGTGTTTTGGATGTGGTTCGGGAAGTTTTGGACTTAAGAAAAGTTGCAGAATTTCTGCTGCAGGTGCTCAGACCTGTTGTGCATCGCGATCGCGTAGTAACTCTCGCGATCGCGTAAGGTAAATGGGGACCGGGGTGGATTCGTTCTTCGCGAACGCGAAGCCACGGCCGCAAACGCGGAGCAATGGGGGATTGCTCATCGCGAACGCGACCTGTGTGACGCGAACGCGTAGAGTTAATTGGAGAGGGGCTAGGATGTTGTCGATTCTTCTACGCGAACGCGTACGTGGGTCCGCGAACGCGAAGGTCAGGGGGTCAACCCTTCGCGATTGCGTAGAAGATATCGCGATCGCGTAAGTCCACTTCTGGCAGCCCTTCGAGATCACGACAGTGTCCTCGCGAACACGATGAACACTGTCGCCCAGCACTTAAAACAGTAGCCATTACGGGAATTCTTCAAAATTTCATAACTTCTTCATTTCAACTCCAAATTGGGCGATTTTTGAAAGAGGATTTCACCACAAATTCGTAGGTATGTAATCTTAGACTTGTTTTCTTCAATTTTCATTAACACCCATTAGATTTGTGTTGTTGAATCCCTTGCCGGGATAGTGTGGTTCGCTGGTGATCCCTTGCCAGGACTGTTGTTATGATAATTGTTGACTGTATATTTAAAACGGGTTGCGCGCCGCAACATTATTTTATATATGGATCGGGTTGCACGCCGCAACAGTATTATTGTATATGGATCGTTGCACGCCGCAACAATGTTATCATATATGGATCGGGTTGCATGCCACAACAAATGTTATGTTGGATCGGGTTGCACGCCGCAACAAATATTATATTGGATCGGGTTGCACGCCGCAACAGTGTTAAACGATAAGGGATCGGGTTGCGCGCCGCAACAGTATTATTATTGAATTGTTGTAGATTTTGAACTGTCCTTTCATATTTCTCTTAAGTATCTGCTGGATTTGATATGTTCCCCGAAGCATGTATCCCCTCCCATTTAAACTACTTATTCCTGTTTATTTTCCGCCGTATATTATATAATTGCACAGGTCTTATCTGGAGTCCGGTCCTAGCCTCGTCACTACCTCGCCGGGGTTAGGCCAGACACTTACCAGCACATGGGGTCGGTTGTGCTGATGCTACACTCTGCACTCTGTGCAGATACCGGAGCACACTGGGTCAGCAGCAGTAAGGGAGCCATCCTTCAGTCCACTGAGATTCCGAGATAGTCCTGCAGGCGTTCGCAGTCCCGGCGTCTCTTCTATCTATTATTACGTTCTGTTATCATTTGTATCCGAGACAGACTGTGTTCTTTCTTCCAAACATTGTATGTAGTAATTACAGATGGTCCGTGAATGTTGTGGCACCGGTTTCTGGGTAGAGACACATGTTGGCTTTTCTCGTATTTATTTTGGTATTATAATCGTCTAAGTCTTCCGCTTAATTTTTATCTTTCGCTATCATTTAAATGTTTATCACCTGTTTATATAAGTTGTAAAAAGGATTAAAATGAAAGAGTTAAAGATTTCTAAACTTCGTGGCTTGCCTAGCTTCTACGAGTAGGCGCTATCGCGACTCCCGAGGGTGGGAAATCCGGATCGTGAAAAGTTGGTATCAGAGCTCTAGGTTACATAGGTCTCACAATTCACGGACAAGCTTAGTAGAGTTTTAGGGATAGGTACGGAGACGTCTGTATTTATCCCCCAGAGGCTACAGAGTTTGGAAAATTTCACATTCGTTCTTTCTTGTCGTGCGGTTTGGTTTCTCAATGCTAATTGAATTTCTACTCTGTTCTTTCGCAGA